ACCATCAAGCCAAATTTTGGTTGTTGCTCATTTGGGAACCAGGAAGTAGGCATTGAGGAGCTTTTTAGGAATTCTTCAGCTCACTAAACATTATCTTTTTAGGGTCCCATCGGCACAGTCGTGGAAGCACATGCCTTGCTACAAGGCCTGAAGCTGTAAAGATTCCAACAGAGGCCAGCCCTCATTGTAGAGGGGGACAGGGGACTCTCTAAACGTCATCTGCTGGAGCTATCAGAGCCTGCCAGCCCCTGTGGAGACTTGAGCCCACTTTTACCAGATTTTTCACCTCTCTAGGCACTTTTTAAGTAGAAATTACGCATGTTTGGAGACCAGCAGAGGCAGGCTCCTTGGAGCAGAAATTTGTTATAAACCCTACAGAAACCACCATCCAAGTTACGGACTTTGTTTCATGTTGTTAAACTCCTTTATCTAAGTTTTGGACCTAATTGTCCAAATTATATTTGTATGACCAGTTTTGTCGATATCATAAATTTTAATGAAATATAGGGCTGACATGTGCATGAGGATGGGTTGAACCTCAAGTATTTTTCTTTGACATGGTATCAGATGTGTTTAACATGGTGTTTCCAAAATTTGTTGAAGTGTGAGAATGTGACCAGATCTGAATGATAAGTACCTCACCTTTATAAGTTATTTTTACAGTGTATTAGGCTGTGTGAGTGACTGAAATTCAGACAGCAAACTTCTTGTGCACATAGTCCTTAACAGAATGGGGTTGCTGAAAGAAAAACTGAACACTCACTTGAGGTAGCTTGTTTTCTGCTTATTAATATGCATGTTACAAAGGTTTATTGGGAGATGCCTTACTGAGCGCATGCTATTTAATTAATTGTACGCCTTCTTCAATTTAAAATGGAAAAACACCTCACTCAGTTCTCTTTCCTGATGCTCCACTGTTCGTTGTTCCTCCTCGAGTATTTGGGTGTATTTGCTTTGTTCATATGTTAAGTGCTGGTCATGATAAGCTAGATCTGCGGGCTGTCAAGTGTATCTTTCTCGGGTATTCACGCTTCTAGATTAACGTTGTTATCATCTTGGTTTACAAAAGAAATTTGTTTGTATTGACATTACCCTTTTTTGAAAATACTCCAATACTTTTCAGAAGATAATCGTGTGGTTGATACAAATAATTTTTATCCTACTTCTGGAGAAGTGTCAAAGTCCTCGCCTTCTATTATTCCTCTTCCTATTCCTGTTCATACTTCCTCACCCTAATTACCTGACTGCAGTGAATCTAGTGCACCTATACATCATGATGTTTCTCAAGAGCAGCCCATAAAGATTCCACCAGAAGAAAAATGCAGGTTGGACATCCCCCATCAACTCAGCTGGCCTCTCAATCGTCATCTTTGTCTGTTGATCCACTTCCTTCTTGTGATGATGATGTACCTATTAGCATCCGTAAAGGTATCTGGTCTTGTATTCAACACCCAATTGCACATTTTGTTACCTTACAAATTTGTCTCCATCATATCAAAATTTTGGGCTAGTGCTTTCATATTTTTCTTCCTAAGTCCTGCCAAGAAGCACTTTCTCACACTGGGTGGAAGAGAGCAATGGAAGAGGAGATGGATGATCTTCATTCAAATGATACATGGGAACTCACCAAGTTACCGGCTGGAAAAAGGATTGTTGGGTGTCAATGGGTTTATGCAATAAGATATCAACTTGATGGCACTGCAGAAAGATTAAAGGCTAGATTGATAGCCAAGGGATACACACAAATATTTGGCATTGACTACAATGAAACAGTTTCTCTTATTGCTTAACTTAATTCAGTTTGAGTCGCTATATTTGTGGCCGCCAGCAAGGGCTGGACATTGTGGCAACTTGATGTCAAAAATCCTTTCCTCCATGGTGATTTACAAGAATAGTTGTACATGGAGCAACCACCTGGGTTTATTGCTAAGGAGGAGTCAGATAAAGTGTGTAAGTTGAAGAAAGCCATTTATGGCCTGAAACAGTCTCCACTTCAGCAAAATTGTTATAGCATGTGCATTTCAGCACAATCATGAAGCAATGTTGTTAATTTCAGTTCGCTTCGGCTGAAACGGCCGAAGCCTTCGGTTTTACGCACTCAACCGAAGAGAAGCGAAGAATTAAATTTCATGACCCTGAAATTTAGCATTTTACACCGAAATCTTGTGTGCTTCAGTAAAAGAGACATAATGTTGACACATGTCAACTGAAAAGGTAAAAGCTTTGGTCATGATGATAGGGATCGGCTTGTACATATATGGGCAATTTCAATGATGGCACAGTTGTTCTTTGACTCTTTGTACGGACATAATGAAGTTTAGAAGGGTATGAGTTGGGACTCAGACGATATATTAATGATGGCTTGATTATTTCGATGACATTTTCCCAATAGGCCAATTGACATTAAGTTACTACATGTTGTTCTCATTTCAATGTTAGTCCATATTATATTTTGATATTTTCTGTTTGTAACAAATTTATTTATTATTAAATATTTTTATTTTTTAATTTTTTTTTATAAAATTATAAAAATATATATTTTAAAATTATAAAAAAACCCGAAGTCTTCCCCGGAATTAACCGAAGAAAAGAATTGCTTCATTTTTTAGGCCAAACCGAAGTAGACTCCGAAGCGAACCTGACAACATTGTCATGTAGATCATTCAGTGTTTATTTGGAAACAAAATTCTAGAATAATTGTTTTAGTTGTCTATATTGACGATATTGTTGTTACTGGCAATGATCAAGAAAGAATTAGTCATTTGAAGAGAGAGATCTAAATCAATATGTTCAAACTAAAGATTTGGGCCAGCTAAGGTTTTTATAGGAATTTTAGCCAGATCAAAGTATAGCATTAGTTTGTCTCAAAAAAAATATATGTCAGATTTATTGAAAGAAACTGGAAGGTTGGGTGCTAGACCCTTGGATACTCCTATTGATTCAACTATGAAATTATTGGCTGATCAGGGGGAGTTGTTTTAGGAACCAAAAGGTACAAAAGATTGGTTGGCAGGCTGATTTATCTGACCATCACCAGGTCTGATATTGCTTTTGTAGTAAGTGTTGTGAGTCGATTTCTGCATGTTCCAAGGATTCTTCACTGGTATGTTGTTCATAGAATTTTAAGGCATCTGAAGGGAGCCCCAGGTTGAGGGCTGATTTACAAGCCGAATAATCATTTGGCCATTGAGGTTACTCAGATGCCATATGACATGAGGTCTACCACAAGTTATTGTACATTCATTGGTGGAAACTTGATAACATGGAAAGTAAGAAACCAAATGTTGTGGCTAGATTTAGTTTCGAGGCTGAATATAGAGCAATGGCGCACACTACAGGTGAATTGATGTGGCTGAAAACACTAATGTAGGAGATGGGATTTTTAGTTGCTGAACCTATTATGATGTATTCCGATTACAAAGTTGCCACATATATGGCCAATAATCCAGTGTTTCATGTAAGGACCAAGGATATTGAAGTAGATTATCATTTAATCCGAGAGAAAGTTGCTAATAAGCAGGTGCCTACTCCATATGTGAAATCTAGGGATCAACTGGCAAACATTTTTACCAAAGGCCTTGGTCATTATATGTTCCAAACAGTTTGTTCCAAGCTGGGCGTTGGCGATATTTATGCTCAAGCTTGAGGGTTAGTGTTAAAATCCTTTTATTTAAGTTTTGGACTTAAGTATACTAATCATATTTGTATGGGTAGTTTTGTCCACATATAAATTTCAATAAAAATATAAGGCTGAGAGGTGTGTGAGGGTGGATTGAACCTCATGTCTCTCTTTCCTCTCATGCTTCTCATATTGCTCTCTTCTCTTTTCTTCTTCTCTTTCTCTTTCTCTTTTCTCTGTATCTTCTATGACACATGTAAAAGTTTGTGCATTCTTCGTTCTTGTATTTACAGCAGAAAAGTGTATGTTGTACACTCTAAAACAATATACTGTCAATTTCATCAAAAAATAAAAAGTCATCTAACTGAAGTCTATTATAATGCAGATAACAATAAATAGCTAAAGCTGTCAAACTAGGCAGGGGAATGAATGATAAGCTCCATAAATAATATCACGTAGACCATGTGTGGTAATCCATGGGACAAATTTTATGCTGTTCACATCTTCAGATACTGAGATTTCTCAGAAAAGATGATATTCACATGCATGGACTCAATGGTCCATCTTTATATCGAAGGATTAGCTTAAAAGAAGAAATTTTCAAGTTGAACAGTAAAATGACAAAATTCTACTATTCTTCTATACAGAGAAATATAGACCATCAACGTAGTCCAACTTACGAGCCCTAGCTCACACAATCAACAAATGCATCACACATTTTGGTAAAAAATATGAGAACAGAGTATTTCGGGAGTCATCTTGCTTGGAGCTGCCTAGGTTATTCAGTAAGGAAGCCATTGGAGATATCAGGGACTTGCTTAAGAAACTGCCTACACCTGTTAGGTGTGCTATTATTTATGATAATTTTAAGTTCATGACATTTTTGTAATTGGTTCTGATGGAGTAATCAGAAATAGGTGCCTTAGGATGAAACCTGCTCACAAAGCCCTAGGTGAAGAGCAAGCCCACCTCCCTGCCCAAAGCAGCTGGGCAGGCAGCAGATAGGCTTCTTCTGATAATTATGAGACTCCGGAGAGTGCCATCAGGCTCTTTTTGATTAAACAATATCATAAGACACAGTTTTCAAGGAAAAAGAGAAACAATACATTACCAGCATTGGGAAACTCGGGCGAGCACACTCACTCGGACTTCACTGCCGAGCCTGGAACTAAACCATATGGGAACCAGCCCAGTTTGGCCCATTCCCAATAGCTAATATGTTTTAAGTTTGGACTAGGCCAAGTCTCTGGTGGACTTGGCCAGTATGTTGGACCTCAGGCTCAGGAAACTAGTGAGTTCCAACCCGCGTCCTTGTTGTCCAACACGGTAGACTGCTAAATCCATGTAAAACAGAATCAAGGTACTTAGTACAGAAGCATACGTTGGAATGCTGGACTTCTGCAGCGCTCTCAGTGGAAACAGGTGCATAGTCAGAAGCCTTTTCGCCACCATTTGGTACAGAATCAGAGGAAACTCTAGATGGAAAATGTGCCTCATGATCATCTGTGCTCAGAGGAGCTGTACCCCGAGCATCTGTAGCATCTATGTCATCTTCTATCAACTGAAGGAAAGATATTAGGGTCAATTAGAAAGTATTCATTATAGCTAGACATGGGAATAATAGTCCAACTGTTTGTGAAGCACGTTACTAACAGAATGATAGCACAAACATGAAAAACTAACAAACAAAACAAAACAAAACAAAACAAAAAATCAATGCTTACATATGCTGATTCTACTGTAACAATCCCATGAAGATTTAGGCGTAGTCTAACTTTAACTTTTGACTTGTCGGAAGAGGCTTGGAAAGGCCCAATCTGGTAAGTAGAATGGATCATGGATTAGAGTCATCCCAGAAGCAAATAAAAATACGAAATATAAAATTGTTTGCTCAGCCCAGAGGGAAGATAAAAGCATGAAATATCTACAGACATGTCCGAATAAATGGTAAACACCATGTAAGTATCCGAAAAACTTCTCATGTATAATATTAGATCACATATAAATGATATAGATGTAATTCATGCAATGATGGAGGACAAAATATGCAGGCTACCATCCAATAGTGGTTGTTGTTTTTTGTATTCTTGCAAAGCAACTCTTTAGATCCTATCCTAGATTAGGTCGCAGATAGGCCCACATATGGAACAGGAAGTTGCATCTGCAAATCACCCTTATCACAGCTATCAATAAAAATAATAATATACAAAAAAACTACCAATGAATATCCCCTGGAACAATCATATACAAGAATTAAGCATACGAAGCTAGGTCGCATATAGACCCACAAATGGAAGAAGAAGTTGCATCTGCAAATAACCCTTATCACAGCCATCAATAATAATAATAATAATAACTACCAATGAATATCCCCTGGCAAAATCATATACAAGTATTAAGCACCTGCTTCATATGTGTCAAATTTATATTGATCATTTAAACATATAATTACTTCCCACTCACTTTGCCAGCCTTAGAATGTGAAGATAATCTTTCTTTTCTCTTAAAATTTTTCATACTGCCTAAATTTGTTAACCTGAGAGAGAGAGAGAGAGAGAGAGAGAGAGAGAGAGAGAGAGAGAGAGAGAGAGACGTACGTAAGTAAAGTAAAACGAAAACGAAAACGAAAACGTAAAAACGTAAACGTTAACGTTAACTTTACTTTAACGTTATTACGTACTAACTAA